GTCAGCGTGTTCACCACCCAGTACAATGCAAAGTGCAGCCTATTCTGCTGCAGAGGGGCGCGGGATCCCATGGCCTTGGGAGACGGGCTCATTTACCCTTGGAGCAACAACTTCCTTTACATGTTCCCTCCTCTGCCGCTGTTGCTGAGGATCGTCCAAAGGCTCATGAGGGTTCACATGAAATGCATCCTGATTGCCCCCTGGTGCCTGAGACAACCCTGGTTCACCAACCTCCTTTTGCTGACCAGGGACCGCCATCCCCTTCCACAGGTGCCAGATCTGCTCCCAGCAGGGAACGGCGCTCTTCTGTTCCACGAAGTCCACAAGCTCAGACTAACAGCCTATCTCATGGAAATTTAACGTTTTCAGATAGAGTTACTACTGCGTTACTCAATACCAGGAAGGACTCTAGCCAATGTTCCTACAGCAGGAAGTGGACTCATTTCTTAGCCTTCTTACAGCCCTCAGAGGTACCTCCGGCTTCTGTGGAGGTGGACCTAATTCTGGAATTTTTGGTTTCGCTAGCGGAAAAGGACCTCTCACACTCAATCAGTGTCTACTTGTCAGCTCTTTCTGCCTACCATTCGGATACCGACGGTCTCTCTGTCTTCTCTCACCCAATCTCAAAGAAATTCCTGAAGGGTCTGCTCCACTTATATCCGCCAATCTGTTCACCGGTACCTTTGTGAGACTTGACGCTGGTGCTGCACTGTCTGATGGGACAACCCTTTGAGCCAATGGCAACCTACAAACTGAAACATGCCACCTGGAAAACTGCCTTTCTCGTCGCCATTACCTCAGCCAGGAGGGTGGGCGAACTCGTGGCCCTTCGTCATGACCCACCCTTCCTAGTCTTCCTACCGGATGGTGTGAGACTGGTACCTGACTTCTCTTTCCTGCCTAAAGTGGTCTCTGAGTTCCATCTCAGCTCAGAGATCTTCTTGCCAAACTTCTTTCCTAGCCCAAAAGATGGCCAGCAGAATCTTCTCCATGCACTAGATGTTAAGAGGGTGCTACTTTTCTACTTTGACAGGACACGTTCAAGTAGGAGGGACAATCACTTATTTGTCTCCTACTCCAGTCACTCCACAGGACAAAAGATTTCAGCACAACATCTCTCCAAATGGATTGTTGAGACTGTGCTACCAGTTGGCTAAACACCTGTTGCCCTTGCCTGTGCGAGTGCATTCCACAAGATCCATGGCTACGTCTACAGCCTTCTTGAAGGGTGCTTTCCTGTCGGCAATCTGTGGGGCTGCGACATAGTCTACTCTGAACACTTTCATCAAGCACTATGCTTTTGATGTTTGTGAATGCCACAGAGTGGACCTTGTTCATCTAATCCTTTAGTCGGCAGAACACTGAGTGTACGACAGCACCCACCTCCAGGTGAGCCACTGCTTTTCGATCTCCCATGGGTGTGATGCACAGAGACCACGAAGAAGATAAACAGGTTGCTTACCTGTAACTGATGATCTTCGAGTGGTCATCTGTGCAGTCACACCACCCGCCTTTCCTTCCCCACTGCTGTCGCTTCAGTACTTTATCCGGTTATTGACATGACAGCAGTCAAAAAGAACTGGTGGGATATCCGCGCCCCACCTCTTTGCGCATGCGCAGTAGGGTTCCTGTGCATGCCTGGGAGGGAGGCGCAAAAATCCCATTGTGAGCTTTGTATACCACCGATTCGGATCAGCACAGGTGCATAATCCCATGGGTGTGACTGCACAGATGACCACAAAAAGATCATCAGTTACAGGTAAGCAACCTGTTTTTGTAATTTTACAAAGTTCCAATATACCTTTTAATTGTTTGAACTGGTACTCATGGGCACTAAAATTTCCATGAAACTGTTTTCCTCAGAGCCCAAAATGAATGTGTGTGTATGTGTGATAAAAGTTATATGCAAAATAACTGATCCAGTGAATGCTGATCCACAGGTTCCTGAAACACTCAAATTCTGTGGTTTCAAATCAGCAGAGGTTGAGCTGTTGGTTTAAATATTCATATGCTACCTCTTTTGCTATTCCCATGACACTCCAAACAGTTTACAAAAACAAAAAATTAAAACAGGCAGTCGCAATAAAATTGCAACAGCTCTGCACAATAAACAGCAATAAAGCAATAAAAACTTCATACTTAAAACTATGCAGAACAGCCTGCAGGAAAAGCCAGGCTGACACCTGGCAACAAAAATTAATCCGCAGGGGAGCTTCTTTTACCCCACCACTACAGAAGCAGCCTGGCCCTGAGCCCTTGCATCCTTCCCCTCTATAAAGAGCCACTTCGGTGGGACGGCGGGGTAGAAATTTAATAAATAAATAAGTAATAAAGAATGAGATCTTGACTTGAAAGTTTAAATGCATGGGGAGAAATGTGGAAAGGAGGGTGGCTCCTTCCTGAAAGCACACAGATCTTGTACTGTTTAAAAGGCTTGATCCAGCCTCATAAAGACAGGGGCTGCAGCTTCTCAACTGGCTTGAAAAGGCAGCCCCGTGCAGAACACATTGCAGTAATCCACACAGGTGTCTTGCAATTTAATCCTAAAGAGAGTTACTCCAATCTAAACCCATTCATTTCAATGGGCTTAGACTGGAGTAACTCTGCATAGGATCTCACTGTTAATTCATAAAGCATTGGAAGCAGGCCAAGAGGGATACTGGAAAGCTGACCATCGTCTCTGATAGAGAGTGATGAAATTTCCACTAACAAGGGATGCCTGGTGTCTGTGTGTGAGGGGGTGCAATCTCTGAATGCTGCTCCAAATTGCTGTGGAAGGGGCAATCTATTTTGATGCTTTCTTCCCTGGCCGCCCTTAGTTGGCCTTGGGAAGGGTAGAAGGAATGAAATTCCTAGGTTGCAATGGGAAGTTTTCCTCACCTCATTCTCACAGACTTAGGAATAGGGTTGCCAAGCTCCAAGAGGGAGCTGAAGATCTCCTAGAATGATAACTGTTCTCCAGATCACACAGATCAGTTCCCCTGCCCAACATGGCAGCTTCGGGGGGGTGTCTTATGACATCCCTGCTGAGCTCACTCCCCTCTCCTAACTCTGCACTCTTCAGGCTCTGCCCCCAAATCCCCAGTAATTTCCCAACCCACAGCAGGCAACCCTACTTATATAGGGTTGACTTGAGTGACTTCAGTGAACTGGTAAAAGACAAGTTTAGAAGAATGGAACTGACCCCAATCATTGTTCCATCTGTAGCAGTTTCAGTTACCTTTTTGAATAACTCCTATCAATCCTGATGGGCCTTTTGCTAGTGGATACATGTGGGCCATAGATAAAGATATAACCAGTGTGCTATAATTGATAGAATATTAGACTCTGAGGAGACCTGGGTTCAGATCCCCAATCAGCCATGAAGTTCACTGCATGAGCCATTCTGTACCATTCTGAGCTCCTTGAATGAAGGATAGGGCTGCCAAATCGGGCCGGGGGGCGGGGAAACCCCTGCTTTGGAGGCCCGATTTCCGCCGCGGCGGAATCGGGCCCCGGGGGAACCCCGCCTCCGGCGTGCGAGTCACCCAGAAGTGACGTGGGCACGCTGGGCACGCTGGGGGCGGGGCCACGGCATACAAGGGGAAACTCTATGGTGATGTGCATGCGGTGTGCGTGCGTGCTTTGCACTCGCGCACTCACCCGACGCCGGCCGGGAGCCCCCCGCTCCCGGTGAAGACTGATTTGGCAACCCTAACGAAGGACAAGATAAAATATATTTTATTTAGAAAATGTATTTGCCACTTCTCAAGAGATCTTGTTCAGTGCTGCTCACAAAGTAAAATAAAATAATGAAAAAGCATAGAATTATCAATAAAAGTAACCATAAGAAACAGCTGGAACATAAAAACTGCATAAAGCATTTAACTAGCCTAAAATAGTATTCATAAAACAGCCCTAGGGCTAGAATCAAATCATAAAAATAACTGTAAAAGGTAGAATTCCTAGGTTTAAAAGCTCAGCACCTAGACTTGGCACCTGAAGGCGAGTAAAGGAAGAGCTAGTCACACCTCAAGGGGAAGGACATTTTATTGGCAAGGTGCCACCACTGAAAAAGCCATGCTTGTTACCACCCCATTCACCTCTGCCTAGAGGGATACTGCAGTGAGGGTCTTAATTGATGGGCTGAGTGAGGTGGTGCTTCAAGTACCCTGGCCAATGCTCCCTCTAAGCTGTGAAGTCTTGTGAGCAAAAATTCTACTTTGTGAGCTACTGGCATTAAAGTTGTGAGCAAGCAATTTAGTTACTGCATAAATTAGTTTGCTCTGGCGCCATCCTTCCTGAGCTAAGACAAAAATGTGTGAGCTAGAGGCAAAAAACCTGTGAGCTAGCTCACACTAACTCAGCTTAGAGGGAACACTGACTGGCTCCAAGATGTTTAGGGCCTTAAAGGTAAGAACAAGCACTGTGAATTGTGTGCAGAAACTGAGGGGCAGCCACCTGGATAGTTGAAATTTGGCTTGAAATAGTATGAAGTCTCAGCAAGACAACCTCTAATTGATATACAGAACATGAATTATAGGTAATTGAGGGTGTGTGGTCACAGCAAATTGTTAATTTCATTGTAATTTAAGTATAATAAGTAGTGACATGACTTATATCAGTTGTACCATAGCTGATCCTTGCACTGTGTCATTGCAGGACACATTGTTACTGTTTAAGATGGTTTGCATCTAAGATAATAATACTGAACACATTTACTGACAAGTATGTGTAGTTAAAGTCAATTGCAAATGTGTTCAGAATCAAAACTTGTATGATTGTTTTGCTATACAATTCATTCAGAAAATGAAACAATTGCATTGAATGAGCTACTGCTGAGAAAATGAGCTTTATTGTAAGATGCAAATTCTACTAAATGACCAAAAATGGTACAGAAAAGAAAGCTGAAAGGATATACTAATGAAAAGATTAGGTTACTTGATTGTTTTTTCAATATAATAAAAATTGAATCAATACCATGTTTTTAGCTAAAGCTCTAAAAATGTTGCTTTTTATAGATCTAATGATAGAAATGGAAGATCAGACAAATGATATCAACGAAGCAAGAATTCCTGTGCTGGACTACAAAACCTATACAGACAGAGTCTTCTTTCTGCCATCCAAGGATGGAGAAAAAGATGTCATGATCACAGGGAAACTGGACATTCCTGAAGCAAGGAAGGCTACTGTAGAACAGGCTCTGAATCAGTTCTCCAATCTCCTCAACAGTAAATCATTTCTCATTAACGTGAGTATAAAACTAACTTACCTTTCATGTTCCCAGAAACTATTTTTGTCTGAAATGTATTTACAGCAAAAACAGACACTCAGAGTTCTTTGCCATCATTGGGTGGCTTGAAAACCTCCTCCTTATCCACAAAATCACTCCTTCCATTGTCTTTCTTCCCCCTGTCCAGCACAGTCTGCCCCCCCCCCAATCAGTTGGTCTTCCAGTGCTACACTATACACACACATGTTTGTGGTACAGAGGTCCCTCGGGGAAAAGAGCTCTACCTTACTTTCTGTCAGCAGCTATCCACACCCTCCTGTCAGGCACCTGAAAGAACTGATCTCCACGCCACAAGCACAGGCAAGAAGCTTTGGCCAGGTTAGATGGGAGATACAGAAGACAAGGGAATGGTGTGTCTGAAAATGCCTATGCTGGCCTGTTCCTGATTAGTGTACTCTCCCTGATGGTTGGTTTGTGTTTCCCATCCGCAGCTTTCTTGTTCCGTTGCCCACACTCAGAGACAGTTTATGGTCCAAGCAGCTACTTGCGGTGGCATAATGATGGAGGTGACACTTGAGACATCCCATGATCCCTCAGCTTCTTGGTCATTACATCTTTTCCTGGCCAGCCATCCTCTCTCCATCCCTTCTTCATGTGTTGGACTGTACAATAGTTCGTATCTCCTCCTGTTTTTTGCAGTCTTCTGCACCACCCAAAAAACTGCTGTTGAGGGCTGCACCCTTCAAAATAGTTCGGGATGGAACTGGCGGAAGGCACATAATTTGTGCCCCCGTCCCCCGCTTTCCACAAGGGCAGCTTTGGACCCAAACCACAGAAATACGTGTCCTGAAAACATGTACCAAATTGCATTCAAATTTTCTCAGTATTCAAGAGAATTACATGGAAACATCAAGTAATGTGTCAAACAGGCTAGTTAAATACTTGATTTTATTTGGCCAGTCTTTAAAAAAAATGTGATCAGTTTTGCTTTGATCTTGTGTATTTTGGGAAATATGAATTCAAAATTAGTGGTGCCTCAATCACATATCTGTTTTGTTTTAGTTCATTCACACACTGGAAAAGCAAAGGGAATTCTCAGCCCGTGCAAAAGTGTATTTTGCATCTCTGTTGACTGTAGCTTTGCATGGGAAATTAGAGTACTATACTGACATCATGAGGACGTTGTTCTTGGAGCTGATGGAGCAGTATGTGGTGGCCAAAAACCCTAAGCTGATGCTCAGAAGGTAGGACTGACTCTTCCAATAGTCCAGTAGTAGTGGAAGTTTCCTTCTTTCCTCTGAAGTAAATGGTAAAACTCCCCTTATTTTTAACAGGAATAGATTACAACTGTTTATATCTGGGGGAGGGGAAAAGGAGAAACCTCCTGAACTTTGTTATCATCTACATATAGAGGTCAAGATAGAATGAGAATTTGCTTTAGAATTTGAAAAAAATCAGCAAAAAAATTTGGTCAAAATGGAATAATTGAGCATATACCCAAATGTCGTATTGTGGGATCTTTGAAGAAGATTCTACCCCTATTCTCCCACCTCAGTGAGCAATGTTGGAAGCACTTCTTCTAGCCTGTAGAGCCTTCCTCCAATCTAAGAGGCTCTTCCTCCAGCAGAAGTTTTTCTGAGGCTAGAGGAAGGCTCCTTAGAGGATGGTTGGGTCCACTCCTTTGTCTTCCAGGAATCATTCACACTGTTCACCTGCTCAACATTTCTAGTTTTCAACATTCATCTGATGTTAATGGCTGACTTATCTTTGCAGTTGCTTTGATTAAATTGTTTTCTGGCTTGGTATTGATCTTATTCCAAGTAGTACCAGAGGATTGATTTGTTTTGATATTTTATTTCACATTTGAACGTACAGTACTCTTGTTTCTGAATAATTAAAGTATTGTATTCTTCTACCCTTCACCATGTAACTCAGACTCAATAGATTCAAGAATGCAGCATTCAAAGTCAATCTCTATTAATTCTATTAATATTTAAAGCATAAAAACACTTATGTTACCAATAGTGAGATCAATATAACTAAGGATGTTATTTAAGGCAAGGGTAAATTAATTGTTATGCTGTAAACATTACAGAGTGAATTCCCAGTCCAAATGGACCATTATTTCAGTGTTTTTATCTGAGAGAGGCTCAGTGAAAATAAAGCACACTTACTGTGTTCTCTGCGCAGTACAGCTTTAAGGTTTCCCAGCAGTGGCTGTTCGTATGTCACACCATAGAAAAATGATTGCCACACTGTGGGGACATTTTTGTATTGTCACTGAACATGAGCATCATGGTGTCATTATTATCTGTTTTGCATCAACCAAAAAGTGTATGTGTGGGGAAAGAAGGACATGAAAAAATGATGGTAGTTGTTTTAGGTATTCCTACTATGCAGACTATAGTAATTGTGTATATGATTCAGCTCAGAATTGTTAACATTCGCTGTGTGTTCATTTATTTTAGATCAGAAACTGTTGTGGAGAGGATGCTTTCTAACTGGATGTCCATTTGTCTATATCAGTATCTTAAGGTAAAATGTGAAATGCATGCATATAATCCGCACTGTTTAGAAGTCCAGTTCATGTTTTATTATTGTTCCAAGTTACCAGAAGTTCTGGATCAAGGCTTGGGTTAAACTGGCCAGGAAAGCCGCTATGAAGGACTCTCTTTGGCACTGTATTCCTTTCCTTGTCCATTGTGAATAAAGTTATACTATAAAGTTATACTAAGAAGACCCTCTGAATCTTTGTGACTGATTTCATCATCTTACAAGTTGCTTTCAAAATGTAGTCAATATTATTTACACAGCCTTCCATTACTAATGTCAACAGGACAATGCTGGAGAACCTCTTTATAAGTTGTTCAAGGCTATCAAGCATCAAGTGGAAAAAGGTCCTGTGGATGCTGTGCAAATGAAAGCCAAATACACACTGAATGACACTGGTTTATTGGGAGATGACGTAGAATATTCACAACTGGTAAGGGGCTCTTTTCAAAGTATATTGGAGGGTCTCAATGTCTCTTTCTGAATCAGTATCAATTATATCGAATGTTTATATGTACAGAGGAGTAGTTCAACAAGTCAGTTACAGTGAAAATAAAACAAAAGCATAGAGTAGCCAGGCCACAGCCAGCAGCCCCTGGGAGGAATTGTGGGGTTGAGCCTGGTGTGCTGGTGTTATGCCAGCATGCTGATGCAGCTTCCAGTAAAAATGTGAAGTGCCATATTTAGACAGTCTAGCAGATACAAAAACTCTGTTGTTTTACCATACGGTTTTTGTAAAATGCTAGAGCATCCACATGTCACTTCTATTTTTTTTTTACCAGAAGTGATATAAGTGTGCTAGTGCAATGCCAGCACACACTCCGTCCACCCTTTATTTCTTCCTGTCAATGCCTGCTGCACGATAGGCAACAAACTAGTCTGGTAACATGTTGAATACTAACAAAATTTATTCCAGCATGAGATTTTGTGGTTAAGAAAGGCTTCTGCCTTCTGTTGTTTGTAGCTTAAAGTATAAATGCATCTGCCTAATGAATGTACATTTCATGCTGCCTAATGAATGTACATTTCATGCGCCAGATGAAGTGAGCCCTGACTCATGAGAGCTTATGCTGGAATGAATATTGCTAGTCTTTAAGATCACTGGACTTTTGTTTTATTGATTATTTATTAAATACACCCTTCCTTGTTCCCCAGTTAGTAGGTTTAACAAATATATGAATGATCAAGATATTAAAATGTTATGATTATGTTACATTCAATTATTTTAACCAAGTTTTGTTCCAGGTTGCAATTAGTGTTTTTAAGGACTGATCTGTTGTCCTTGGGTGCTAATCGTCTTTCCTTTTGCTCTTTAGTTGTTCTGTTTCTTCTTGCTTGAGTTTACAAAGTTTGTAGCAAATGTACATGTTTAATCTTTACTGTGTCACATGGTCAATGGTTTCCACTGAGTATCTTCAGGGGGACCATGAAGGGACCTCAAGCATAAAGAGCTACTGTTGTTTCAAATCTGTAATAGAAGTCAGGGCACAGTGAGCAGGCATCCAAGTGTGCATTGAATTCACAGACTGGTAATTCACACGTCCTCGGTCAGATATGAGCTACTGAATCTGGTAGATACTTCTGGTCCTTCAGGAGTAAGTAACAAGAATGGCTTATTAGGGAAGGTTGCTGAACAGTTATTAGCTGTAATGGTGTAATTGATCTTCCATGTTAATTGGCAGTATAGCTGAAGTATCAGATACTAGGAACAGAATGGAAACATCTGTTAGAATTAGAATGCTAGTCTAATGGTGTTGATTTCATCCGCTGGAAAGACAATGTGGTACAGTGGTTAGAATGTTGGGAAAGGATCAAGGAGACCAGGTTTGTAGTTGTACTCTGCCATGGACAGTTGCTGGGTGTTTTTTGGACAGTCACACAGACTTTGTCTAACCTACTTCACAGCGCGGTTGTGAGGATAAGATGGAGGAGAGGAGAATGACCTAATCTGCTTTGGGTCCCCACTGGGCGAAAAGACTGGCCACTCATGAAGTAAATAAGTACTTAATTCCCAACCTGATATGAATTCTGTAGCTTTCTGGCTTCAGAATCTATCTTCACCCCATCCTATTCTGAATCCAGATCAACATGCTGATTAAAAAATATGGGGGGAAATATAGTGACCAAAGCTCCCCCTAAGCTGTATTAGGGGGCACTGGCACACAACATTCTATCTGGCAGCACAGGGAACTTAGCTGAAACCCAGCCTGCAAATGAACTGAAAAGGCATTTTATGCTTTTTGGTATGATTTACAAGCTGCCTTGAGTCACAGGGAAAAGTAGGATATAAATATTTGAATAAATAATTAGTTTGGACAGATTGATTACATTTAAGCAGCTTCCTGTTTGTTAGTTTAGGCAGGGTTCTGACAGTGATTGTTCCACCTCTGTTATACTTAACCTGTAATGCTAGTTGTCATATTTCACTAAAAAAACCAAAGTAGACTGCAAGAGTCCCCCCCCCCCCCCACTTGGTGTTGTGTTTTTTCATTGGCACATCAGGATTGTGGGTAGACCTGTTCTCCAGAGACCAAGTTACCAATATAGTGAAAAGGGGTGAATAGACCTGTTCTCCGGACGCCAGGTCTACCAGTATAGTGGAAAGGGGTGGGTAGACCTGTTCTCTGGAGGACAGGTCTACCAATATAGTGGAAAGGGGTGCATGAAATGTCACTTGATTCTCTTTTCTCTTATAACATTTAAATTATTCTTAATATATAGTTTAAATATAATTTAAAGGAATTTATTCTGAGATTTTTACAAGGTTATAGAAATAATCTAAAAACCTAATTTATGCGATAGTCAAATGTAAACTCACTCACAACTATAATGCATTTTTTAAGGACTGGGCTCTACAGAACTGTACTACCTTGGCTTTTGTCTACATAATCCCTCCACTATGAGATTCCTCTATATTGGCATTGCTAGAAGCCATTTCATTTTGCTTGACAGCAAATTGTGCAATGGCACATCTTCAGCATCTGGTAAAAATTAATAAAAGCTCTAACAAAGGGATTTGTTAAACAAAAGCACATTTAATATATTTTGGGGAAATGGAGATGGAGTGTGAGGAGCTGGTAGGGATTTTATGCACAGCTTACATTTTGTCATATCTGTGCAATTTTGAGAGCAAAAGGGAGGAATAAATTTAATAAAAGAAATTTGTGTATCAACTGTAGACTGTGACAAAAATGATAAGGCACTCTATAACTCATTCTCTTTGTGTATATGGATCCATAGGATTCCTTTATCTGACTGGCTGCTTTCATTGTGTGGTAACCAATAAGTGTTCTGCAAAAGCTATCTTCTAGCTCCTTTGCTTCCATCCCAGCTCTTGTCCAAATTTTCTGTGCTGCTAAATCCCAAAGAATCAGTAATGTGTATCTAACAGCAGATTTAAGTAAAATCACCTCATATATATTCCTTGTGTCATGAGAGAACAGATTATTAGAACTGTGTGCTTTCCAAGTCTGAACACATGAGCAGCCTAATTGTGTACGGGGAAGATTGGGATTACAGGCAAAGTTAATTACTAGCAGTAATCTACAACACACATTTGAGCCAGTTTGGTGTAATGGTTAAGTGCGTGGACTCTAATCTGGGAGAACCAGGTTTGATTCCCCACTCCTCCACTTGCACCTGCTGATGTGACCTTGGGTCAGTCACAAGCTCTGGCACAGCTGTCCTTGAAAAAGAGCAGTTTGTGTCAGAGTTCTCTCAGCCCCACCCACCTCACAGGGTGTCTGTTGTGGGGAGGGGAAGGGAAAGGAATTTGTAAGCCGCTCTGAGACTCCAAGTGAAGAGCGGGGTATAAATCCAATCTCTTCTTCTCTTCTTCTTCTTTGAACTGACTATATATAAATGCTGCCTGTGTTGCCTGAATGGTATGGTGATACGATGACCAGCAGTGTATCCTTATTAGACATTTGTGATCCCGACTTCCATCTTTGGGGTCATTTGTAGATTAGTTCATTGTGAATGCTAAATATAGGGGTGCTCTATTGCACAGTTAAAGCATAACAGTGAACAGGGAGTCATGTATATGTATAAGATTAAACAAGTAAATCAAACTAAGTTTTGTAACTTCATGTGATACATCTGTTGTCCTGGCCTTTTCCTGTTGGCTGCCATACCCCTGCATCCTGATTTTGACAGCCCAGGCTAGCCTGATCTTGTCAGATCTTGGAAGCTAAGTGGGGTTAGCCCTGATTAGTACTTGGATGGGGGACCACTTAGGAAGTCCAGGGTTGCTAAGCAGAGGCAGGCAGTGGCAAACTACCTCTGAACATCTCTTGCCTTGAAAACCCTATCGAGTTGCCAGAAGCTGCTACGATAGAAAAAAATTGTATCACTGCAGCAGACTGAAGCTATTCCAAGAAGTGTTTTCACTGTTGCATTTTTGTCAGAGCAGTAAATAATAAACTGATCTTTCAACTCTTTGGGTACATTGATAATTGATTAACCTAAAAAGGCACAAATGGTAAATAGTCCAGCTATTTTGATTGCTTGTCTCTTTTTAAAGCCAGCTTTTACTAAGTCCCCAAGATACAACACTGATGGCAGAGAAATATGTTTAAGAAGAAAATCTATTGAATGCCCTTTACTGTATTCTCATAGTAAGAAAAAAAGGCTGGAACCCAAAATAGCTATTTCAGTTAACAATGAAGTTCTCTTTATATGACCCACATTTCTGTCAAAAGCCCATAATGAGGTGTGGTAATGAGAACACACAAGGAATTGTTGGGCCTGCCTAAATTTCAATCACTGCAAATAAAAGAAAGCTCTTGCGTAAATACCACATTCATTTTTCTTGTCCAGTTTTTAATAACCATGAAATCTTTCACCTTCCAGACTGTGAATGTGATTGTCCAAGATGAAGGCACAGAGTCTGTGCCTGTAAAAGTGCTAAACTGTGATACTATTTCTCAAGTAAAGGAGAAGATAATAGACCAAGTCTACCGGAATTTACCTTATTCACAATGGCCAAAGCCTGACAGCGTAGTTCTTGGTAGGTGTCTGCTTTTGTTGTTTTCTTAACAGCATTTAATAAATACGTTGATATTCAAGAGAATACTAGGCAAGATGAACATATTCAGTAAGGATGTTTTATACCAGGTGTCTGCAGCCTATGGCTGTACAACCAGTACAGAACCAAATATGGCTCTCTTTTTTTAAATGCAGGTAAGGTATTTTGGAGGGGTAGGTGGGGTGCTAGAATAAGAATAACCAGTATGTCAACAGAATGGCAGGTAAAGAATTTGATGGAATTAAAAGGCTTCTTAGAGATGCTTTACAGAAAGGGAAATTATAGAAGAGAACAGTTGTCAGTACTCAAGTGCAAACTGTGCATGAATTTATGCCAATGAACTGATACAATTGTGCAGGGTGCTCCTGTGTATATTTATGATTTATTGTGAGACCTCACGCGTGCCACTTCCTAATAAAGGTCTTGTGACAACCACTGTTTTGGCTGTGGAGACCTTATATAATATTAACCTACATGTCAGCTATCAGTAATGTTTACAGTTTCAGTCATGCAAATAGTCTTTCTTATACTTTATTTATTTATTTATTTATTTATTTTTGGATTTATATCCCACCCTCCCTGAAGGCTCAGGGTGGCTAGCAACGAGGCATATATACCGGCTAGTTATTGATCCTTTGTTCTGCATATTGAAAGTGCTAGTCTCCTTAACTGTAAAAGATTACAGATTTTTATTCTGTACTCTTATACTCATATTTATTAACATTTTCCCCTATACAGAAAGTATTTGTTTAGGATAGCTAAATCCAGGGGTGTCAAACATGTGCCCGTGGGCCAGATTAGGCCCTTGAAGGGCTCCAATCCGGCCCACAAGGACCTGGCTATTTTCTGCTTCCTTTCCCACTTCTGCTTCTTCTGCCACGTCACAGCTTGCTTTACCAGACTCTCTCAGTTGCACAGGAGAGATAGATAGGCAAGCCTCTCCTGTGCAATTGAGTCTGGTAAAGAACTGGCTGAGGCTCCTCCCTTCTCTCAAGGAAAGGGAGGGAACTGGCCAGTCTGCCTCAATTCTACAGGAGACAAAGGGAAACCTTTCTTTCCTTCTACTGGCTGAGGCTCCTCCCTGAAAGGAGAGACGGAATGAGGGAGAGCTTGCTTTGCTGGGCTACCTCAAGCACACGGGAGAAATGCCAAGCACCTTTAAGACCAGAAATGTTTTGTTCAAGGTATGAGCTTTTGTGTGCCTTGCTATAGTGTGTGTGTATTCTGTTGGGCTCCTTATGCTGTGTGTGTGTGTGTGTATTTTGTTGGGCTCCTTATGCCAGGGCTCTCCTGGGTACAACTGGGTTCCCTCCCCCTTTTCACTGTATTCATGCCCTCATGAGCCAGTATTTCTCAGTAAGAAAGCAATGTGAACTATTTTAGAGGAGGAAAACCAACAAGACAGTGAAGTGGATTAGGCTGAAAGTGTGTGTCCGGACCAAGTTCATCCAGCACATTTCCTTTGTAGGAAGTTGTAGTTATTTCTCTGGGGAAGAAGTTTTGTAAACAAACACATAGCCCTCAGTCTGTGTCAGGATGCCTTCTCATGTTCTTGACCAGCACATGAAACAACTTATGTACAAAAGCTTGCAGTGCCCAGCCATTTCATGTTTTCCCCTGGGTCCTAGGCTCAGAACACTGAACATGAGATTTCTGGAATGAATGTCAGTAAATCAAAAGTAGATTTGCAGCTTACAGATACACACCTAAATACCATAATTACGACTGCTACAGCACAGACATTTTGATGCAATAATTCAGAGCAAGAGGTGTCAGACATCAGAGACGGTTAAATAGACAAAATATTGCAAGAGTGTTAGTGTTTTAAGCATATTTTATTTAAAGTTTAAAAAATCCTTAATTGTGTTTGTCTGTGTCCTTTATAAAGTTTATATGGACCAGCTCAACAAGGTCTCTTTTATGTCAAGTCCAGCCCTCACAACAAATGAGTTTGACACCCCTGGCTAAATCTATTCACAAATAATATACCCTAATGAAGTTGTCTACAGTTCAGCTGTATGGGTTGTATAAGAATTATTTTTTTAAAATGCCTACTAGTTCTGAGATTCAAACAGATGCTTTTAAGGGAAACTGATCTGTTCAAAAATGCTGCATTATGTGTCCTCTGCAAATATGGATTTCATTTGCTAGTCGCTTCATGAGTCACTGTTGAAGGTTTGGGGTGTTTGGGGGTTTTTTAAGTATTTTAAAGCAGTTATTGTTCAGAAGACAGAAATAATGTTTTTCTTTTTCTTCTTTGGGGTGAAAGAAGGATAGCAGGATGCTTGAGTGGTTTGCTAAATGGAGACTCATTTTTGGTGCATATTGGTTTCTTAGTTGGACATGAATCAAGTGTGTGTTCTTGTAATTGCTTCTCAGAATGGCGTCCAGGTTCTACTGCACAGATACTCTCAGACTTGGACTTAACATCCCAAAGAGATGGCAGATGGAAACGTATCAATACCCTGATGCACTATAATGTAAGGAATCAGTTTGGAACGTTTGTTAATATCCTTTGATTGTTTTTCAGTAACACCCACCATTCTTTAAAAGCTTTTTGGATTGAGCAGTATATGTTCCTTTGGGTCATTTGGGGCCGGAGTACGCCGGAGCACCATTCTGGCAACCCAGGAGCAGGCAGAAATGGTGGTGGCGGCAAGCCCAGCTCCCCACCCCCAAGCTCCTTTTCTCTGGAGTCGCACTGCAGCAGCGGTGCAATCTTTCCATTGTATTCTATGGCCCCATGGAAAACAATGGAAAGACACTCCAGAGAGAAGGGGTTTAAAGTTTAAACCCCTTCTCTCTGGAGTCGCGCCGCAGCAGCGGCATGATCTTTCCATTATATTCTGTGGCCCCATAGAATATAATGGAAAGATACTCCAGAGAGGAGAAGAGAAGAAGAGAAGAGATTGGATTTATACCTCACCCTTCACTACCCAAAGGTGTCTCAGAGCGGCTTACAAACTCCTTTTCCCTTCCCCTCCCCACAACAGACACCCTGTGAGGTAGGTGAGGCTGAGAGAGCTCTGACAGAAACTGCTCTTTTTTCAAGAACAGAGATCCAGTTTGGTGTAGTGGTTAAGTGTGCGGACTCTAATCTGGGAGAACCGGGTTTGCTTCCCCACTCCTCCACTTGCACCTGGCTGGATGACCTTGCGCAAGCCATATTTCTGATAAGAGCTGTTATTGAAAAAGGCCCGTTGTAGAGTTAGGAAAGCAAGCTACAGCTTCTGTGGAAACCAAGGAATATTCTTTGCTCAAGATAAAAGTCAGCTTTGTACACAGCAAGTGCACTAGTCTCACTGTTGGCTATGCCTGAGACAAGTCATGCTTCCAGGAACTTTTTAAAACTTGAAGAATGCAAGGCATCTTCTCTAGATTTAGTGAGCAAGAGATGCCTTTATACTTACAGGAATTCTGAAGGCTTGAATATTGAGTTGGCTGATGGGGGGAAATGCCAATAGTCAGCAGTGCTGATTAGAAGATCTGACAGATGAATCCATCCCTCTTCACTTTAAAGGGGGGTACAGCTCCATGTGCACAAAAGAGATCATATTTGGAGCACCCAGTCCACTGAAACGGGGGGGGGGGTCATTTTCATGTCCAGGAGCTCCCGGAGTATGTCTGAATGAACAGTTTAGTAAACCAAAGAGAAGGGAGGATCTTTATACTGCATATGCTGCTTCTGCCAGAAAAGGAAGTGTCATAGAAGTAAGAGATGTCTTTCTGCTACTCCAAGCAAGCTCTCCTTTGTGCTTTCTTGAAGGTACGGGATGGGGCTACTCTCATCCTATCTAAAATGGGTATTTCCCAACAGCCAGAGGATCACCAGCAAGACATGCCAGAGGAAAGTAAGTACTACATATGGTTCCTGTTTAAGGTAACAAAAATAAAGGGCAACCAGATTGTTGTGCTATTGTGCAAAAGGTACTATGGACATTATGGGCAAGAGCCAACAAAGCTGAAAAGCATAAATGGTGCCTGAATACACTTAAGATTGGGCCTGACTTGCTCCTAGTGACTATGACTGGTCTCTTCTGATGCAACTTGGTGGGCTTCTCTACTCCTGAAGGCCTTTAATGCACAATTGGGAAAAGATTGCCATTCACAGCACTAGAACCTAGAAGTACCAGTAAGGGAAAAGAAGGAGAATAAATTGTGCCAGTTCTCTCCACCGGAATATTAGTAGCTTTCCTAGTTCATTTAGGGATTTATTCCCAAGGGCAAAGCTTGTCTTCCTGAAGACTATCTCACTGACAGTTCCACTGGGTTCAGGAACCTACACGCTCAAGGCTGAACTGAATTCTCCTCCCTGGGCCTTTTTACTCTGAATCTATAGGTAGGCAGTAATGTAGGATGCCTGAAGCATTGCGCAGGCACTGCGAAGGCCACCTATAATGGCAGCGAAGGGGGTAGGAATACCAGTGCTCCTGGAGCGGGGAAAGTATAGCGGTGGGAACAGGCAGGAAGTCAAGAGAAAGAGGTGGAGAAACAGAGAAGCTCAACCTCCTTCCAGCCTGCGTCCCATTCCGAGAATGACAGGCAGAGGGGCACGGCATAAGAACCCCGCTCCGACATTGGTGCTGTGCAATGCCAGGTCCATTAATAATAAGACCTCAACCCTTCGGGATTTTTTGCTCAAACAGGGAGCGGACTTGGCATGCGTGACCAAGACTTGGGTGTGAGATGGGGAGACGGTAGCACTCTCCCAGCTGGGGGGCGGCGTGGCTCTATTTATCCGGGAGGCTTACTCCTTCAGGGCGCTCCCACCATTGAAGCTTGAAGGTATTGAGTGCTTGGGCCTTGTGTGGGAAGCTGGGGAGAGTTTGGCTATTTGGCTGGTGCACCAACCAATAGCCTGCCATCTCTGGTCGAGGCGGTGTTGGGCTGGGCATTGGAGTACCCTAGGCTGATAGTCTTGGGTGACTTCAATTTCCATGCCGATGATGCAGCCTCTGTACCGGTGATGGACCTGGTGTCGTCCATGGCGGCACTAGGACTCACCCAATTTAGAACGGCCCCTACACATTGGGCCGGGCATACACTCGACCTGATCTTTGCAGCGGGGGTTACAGTGGACCGGATCACTGCTTTGGCAGTGCCATGGTCAGACCACCTTGCCCTGAAGGCCTGGGTGAATGTGTCACCCCAACCCTGTTTGGCAGGCGAGCGTATTTTGGCTCGCCCACAGAGCCAAATGGACCCTCAGCGGCTTCAGATGGCTCTGCGGGATCCTATGCCCCCTGGCGGCACATTGGATGAGCTTGTCAAGGACTGGCATAGTCGGCTCTCGGCAGCCATCAACGAGATTGCTTCCCGACATCTTCTGTGCCCTCGCTGTAAGCGGGCTCCTTGGTTTACCGAGGAGCTTCGGCTGATGAAACGAGAGTTTAGATGGCTAGAGAGACGGTGACGGCGTGCCCGCGACCAAGCAACAAGAGCATCTTACAGGACATTTATGAGATCCTATGAGATGGCAATCAAACCCGCGAAGAGACAATTCTACACAGCTACGGTTGCGTCTGCTAGCTCACGCCTGGCACAATTATTTAGAACTATTTGGTCATTAACAGAGCTGCCTCAGGGCAGACCAAATGCTAGAGAATTGGATATTGGCTGTGAGGCTTTTGCCAGCTATTTTGCAGATAAAGTCTTGCTGCTCCGCCGCGATCTTCCTGCCACAGTTGAGACAGTGAGTGAACTTGATGCTCCATGCACGTCTTCTGGTTCCATTCTGGATTATTTCAGTCAGTTCAGTCTTGAGGAAGTTGACAGACTGCTCTCAACAGTATGCCCAACCACATGCAGCCTTGATCCGTGCCCTTCATGGCTCATAAAAGCTGGCCGTGAGGGGCCACGAGGTGCCCTTAGGGATATTATCAACAAGTCCTTTGCTGAGGGAATGTTCCCAGGGGCACTCAAGGATGCGATGGTCTGCCCTCTCTTGAAAAAACCATCTCTGGACCCTGACGAATTGGCCAACTATCGACCGGTTGCCAATTTGTCCTATTTGGGCAAAGTACTTGAGAGAGCGGTGACAATTCAGTTGCAGAGCTTTATGGATGACACTTCCATGCTACACCCGTTCCAGTCTGGCTTCCAACCAGGTCATGGGATAGAGATGGCTCTGGTCGCACTCACGGATGACCTCCGGAGGCATCTGGATCGAGGCGGTACGGCGGTGCTGTTGTTATTAGATCTGTCGGTGGCATTTGACACTGTCGACCATCAGCTACTGACCCACTGCCTCGCCGACACTGGGATTCAGGGGCTTGCCTTGCAATGGCTTGTTTCATTTATCCAAGGTCGGGGACAGAGGGTGGCGTTAGGGGAACAGATGTCCCAGAGGTAACCGCTGGTCTGCGGGGGTTTTCAGGGGGCGGTACTGTCCCCAATGTTATTTAACATCTACATGTGCCCCCTCGCCCAGATTGCCCGGAGGCATAGGCTAGGGTGCCATCAATATGCAGATGATGCCCAGCTATATCTGTTGTCGGGCGGTCAGTCCGACTCTACCCCAGATGACCTGGAGTGGGCACTTTGTGATGTGGTGGGCTGGCTTAGGCTAAGCCGACTGAAATTGAATCCAATGGAGGTCCTGTGCCTGAGTCAGAGCGGATCGGGGGTAGGGATCCCACTCCCGACCTTTGGTGGGGCGCCATTGGTGCCAGCGCCGAGGGATAGGAGTTTGGGAGTGCTCCTGGATGCCTCCTTAACAATGGAGGCCCAGGTAGCAGCCACTGCCAAGGCAGCCTTTTACTATCTGTGGCTGATTAGGCAGTTGGTTCCCCTCCTTGAATGCAGTGACATGGAAACAGTGATCCAGGCTATGGTTGTCATTTCGGGGGGGAGCGCAGGGGAACGAAGTTCCCCCGGGTGAGGTGCAGGGGGGCGGGGCACATGATGAAGCCCCGCCCCCTGCTTCCGCCCGCCTCGCTTCCAGCCCTCATTCAGCCAGGAGGAGGCAGGAGAAGAGGGAGGGTAAGTTGCTTCCTCCCCGCCTCTCCCCACCCCTGCCTGCCTGGGGCCAGGGAGGGCCTTGGCGGGGCTTCCTCACACTCCCGCTGGCCTTGCAGGTCCACCGCCGGGCCCCTGATGTCAGGGGGTGTGGCATATGCTAATGAGTTATGCTAATGAGTTCCCCTAGCTCTTTTTCTACGAAATGACCCCTGGGTCTCGCCATACAAGACCACATCCAGCCTGTCCTGAAGGCACTGCACTGGCTGCCAATAGCTTACCGGATTTGCTTCAAGGTGCTGTTTTTGACCTTTAAAGCCCTATATGGTCAGGGCCCTGCCTATTTGAGGGACCGCCTTTCCCCATATGTGCCCCAGAGAACACTGAGATCAGGAACACAGAATCGCCTGACCTTTCCCGGCCCGAAAGATGTCAAGTTGGCCGCTACTAGAGCCAGGGCCTTCTCGGTGGCGGCTCCACGCTGGTGGAATGAGCTCCCGGATAACATCAGGGCCCTGCAGGACCTTTTACAATTCCGCAGGGCCTGCAAAACGGAGCTCTTCCACCAGGCTTTTGATTAGGAGCTGCCACTGGTGAGGGGGCCACTGGAGACAGCGCCACAGAAATCGGTGCCGTCGCAACACGTCTTGGACCACATAAAACAGCAGTTGGTTATTGCCTTCGTTTGTATAGTGTATGCCACCAGCTTCATTGCCATTATTACTAGTACTACTTAGTGGTTATATAGTCCTAATTTATTAATGTATTTTAATGTATTTATTGTCTTAGTGTTTTAAATGTTGTTGGCCGCCTTGAGCCAGTCCTGTGGCTAGGCGGGATACAAATCAAAATCATAAATAAATAAATAAATAAAATAGGGTGGCTTGCCCTGCCACCAGCCCTTTGACTACCTGACTTCATGCCATCGACCTCACTTTAGGCAGGACTGGCTGGCAGCAGCTGCTACTGCTTCTTATTTCCTCTTGGTTTCTGTTGCAGTCATGGAGATGTCCAGGTAGCCCCTACCTGTTGCTCTGCTCCAGAGCTGACCACCATCCATTTCTCAGGCACTAGTGTGTCCAGGCTTGGCTTCCAATATGGCCACACTGCATTCCACATTCCAACTGGCATTGAGTTTTTTGCAGCTAAAGCAATTGTCAGCCTGTAGGCTCATATTACTTGAGTGGTTTCATTTTGGGCTGTTCACGGGGGTGGGGGTAGAATCAACATTGCCAAAAGGATCATTACCTAAATAGCCATACTTTTAAAATGATTCTTGATAGTTTATTTAAACTTTCATTTTATTCCAGCCATACCCATACTTAACAGAGTTATTGTGAGGAAGGGAGAATCATCTTTGGAGGAAGAGCAGGCTAAAAATAAGAGAGACGGTGTGAGACTGTGTTTCTTAAAAGATAAAAACAGCTCCAGCCTTGTGAACTACTACAGCTGTCAGAAATGTGCATGCTGTGCTATTCCCCTGCTTTTTTCTTCTCAGCCTTCATATAGATGATGAGGGTTTTTGAAGTTCTGTTACTCTAGTTTCTAGGGGTGGGGGTAGGGTACATTAGGGTGTTTTTTAACAAATCAATATCCCTTTATAAGAACCTTGTTTTTCTAACCTTAGATTTCATTTATTAAGATGCTGCCATTTCTAATAAATGCAGTACTTTTAACCTGCACAGAGAACTGTTGACAAAGCATTCTTTTTCATGGAATTGGATACCCCCATGATTAAATGAAGTTTTCGACAATGTTCTTCTGACACAACAGGAACTTAAAACAGGCACTTAGAACTGTTTTGCCTCTGATGGCCTCTTGTGCTGAGCATCTCATTGAGACTCAGGTTGTTGCAATCATTGGTTTATCCTCTTCAGCTATGCCAAGCCTGGCA